GCGTGTCGCAGGTAGGATGTCTGTCCGTGCTACCTGGTACCTGTCGTTTGAATGAAAGCAAGGTACTTGTTTAGTATCAACGAAACTGCAGGTCATCACCATCATCCTCTTGCATTGCGATACATGACAACGGCAGTGTTTCAGCTCAGCCTATCCAACCTACATTCCAATACCGCCACCCAATTACAATTATTTGGCCATACTTATTCAAGATTTTCCGTCTTTGCAGCTTGTCCGCCATCTGCCAAGCTTTTGCTCCGCCGAAACACAATCAGGTCATTTGTACTCCTCCATCCAGAGCTGCATTTCTCAGAAGAATGTCCACCTCAATGGCAGCCCAAGGCTCCAACGGGTCGTCAGCAAGGTCAAAACTGCCTTCAATGATAGTCTTTGATCTGGACGATTGCCTCTGGACACCAGAAATGCATGGTAAGTTCAATCATACTTTTCAGCGACCGAATGAATGGCCGTGTTGAGATAGCGGCGACGATTCATTCAGTGTAGTGCTGCTTTAGTCTATGGTCTTGCTCATTCTTTCATCTTTTAACATCCTACCACGATCTATCCATCCAGAGCTTCCTGGAATGCCGGAAATTCCTGTGCATGGTGATTTGGACGACAATGGAACGCAAGGCGTGGTGGGATTGCAAGTTATGCGGTATCAAGATACTGTCAAGCTTTATCCCGGAGCCCGAAAAGTCTTGCACGAGTTGGCTACTAATCCCAAATACAAGGATATTACTCTTGCGACGGCGTCATCCTCCTTGGAACCATCCTATTCGTACGCATGCTTGGACGGAATTGAGATTCTTCCAGGTGTTGTTATGGGCGATATGATGAGGTGGGTGGGTGGGTTCAAATCATCCCTTGCTATATCTCCACTGTACCTGCCTGCACCGTCTCAAATTTCTTACCGTCTATCACTACTGTAGCCACAATCAGATTGGAAGAACTGGAAGGCTGTCGCCAGATAAAGTTGATCACTTTCGATTATTGCATGAAGAGAGCGGAATTCCGTACACTGAGATGCTGTTCTTTGATGTAAGTACCGCTTTCTTGCTGATTGTTGTATAGTTATCGTAGGCGACTCATTATAAAGTATGCTGATCAATGCTGATAACTTTGCTTTCTTGAAAACCTATACTCTACCTTGTTCTCACTCACTCGTTTGCCGTGCTCTGCGTCGTACAACCATATATCAGGACTGCAATTGGGGAGACCATTGCGCTCGTGTCTCGGAACGATATGGGGTGGTTGGTCAACAGACCCCTTATGGCCTCCAATGGGAAGAGTTCTTACAGGGAATGTCCAAGTTTGAAAAGCAAGCAGCAAGCAAGTAGTCGAAGCAGTGAGGAACAGCAGTAGACTGGATATAATTACTGTAACGCAATTGGGGCACACAATGGCTATGGGGGCAAAGATGAACAATACCAAAAATAAACCAAGCTTTGAACCTCTTTTGAATGTGTTCGCATTTGTGGCGAAGTACTCGTCGAAACGCAGTTGAAGTTCAGAGGGCAAAGGTATCCGGAACAAGCCATCTTCCTGCCAGAATGGAAAAGAAGAACCAACCTTTTCCAACTCCTTTTGGTTGTGTTCGCATTTCTGACTGATACGCAGCTGAGGTTCCGGTCAATTTCTGCGTTACCTCTCACCAATGCAGGATATACGCTAGCTAGAGTCAATCATTGGTGACTATCCAAGGAAAAGAATCAAGTGCTGTACCGTAGTTCAAGATTTCTAGCGTTCTTTTTTTTTTCGCATTCGGGACTGTAGTGTTCTTTTTTTCTCGCACAGATGTAAGGGACATGGTCACTGACATCTCCAGTGGATAGATGAAAAACCTCTGTGGGACTGTTCACACTTGTGGCAAGAGGCGCTCGATACCCTTGACTATGTCTGCACACATGTTATAGTCATTTTCTGGAAGTTGTTCGCAATCGTGAAACCATACCGGTAGGCAAGGAAAAGAACAAATTCTAGCTACTGTAGATGTATTTTCAATCTGCACAACATCTCTGTTTCTTCGCCTTCTGCGGTGCTAGCCGCGATGCGCCACTATAATACACGAACTTTGGTCTGCAATAGTGCATCAATCAACTACGAAAGTGCAGAAAAGTCTGGAGGATGACGGTGATGATGATGATGATGATGATGATGATGATGATGATGATGATGATGATGATGATGATGATGATGATGATGATGATGATGATGATTCGGATTGTGGCACTCACTCTCTCAATTGTAAAAATGTTTCGACAGAAACTGGTGGTGGGGCTTATCTAAAGGTTCAACAGCTTCCTAGCCAGACGAATCGCAATTCAATTGAAGGAACTTTTCTCCTTTGTTCTGGTCAACAAAACACACAATCTTAAACCGTCGCTAGCGAACAAGTTCAAAGCTACTTATAGAAAGCGGAATAGATTAGTTTTTTCTTGTCAGCGAAAAGTACGTTCTCTGAGCTTCCGATGGGATCAAATGTTCTCAGTTATTTAGTGCAACAACCCATTGACACGCATCAAAGACCCACCTTAGCATCACTTCACGCAACCAAGCGCTCCTTCCGGTCAGAAGTCAATTTGGTAAGACTGACGAAAGGATGATATAAATCTCTCATAAAAAAACGAAGTCGAACAAAATTGAAAGAACGACGATGACAAGCCAATTTAAAGATATGTTCGACCTTGTAGGGGAATCCGACAGGATAGTCATCCATGACAACTCCTCTAATGTCCTCTACAGTTCTACCGAGAAAGCCGAATTGATATCTTTGCAACAAGCATTACATCAATGCCTTGAGAAGCCACTCTTCCATTCCCACGGAATCAACAGTGGCAACAATCCCACAATTACACTATACCGCAACGGTGAAGAATTGCTTCAGATATCTCATCACTCCAGCTGTAAGAGTATTGAATGTTCTCTTTACAGCTTTGACATTCCATTGTCCAAAGCACAAACGTGGTTAGAATGGTTTGATCACAATAATGTCAACAGTCCAAGACAAGAGTTCGAACGGCTGGCCGCTCGAAGAAGAGAACAAAGAGAAACCTACAAGACGTTCATGCGGAATATGCCACCCTACCTCTTGTCAATCTGGAAGAAGCACGAATCGACCATTCGATTTGATGGCAAGTGCCCAGACGATCTGAAGCGATCCCTTCGCAGGAACCTTTGTGGCAAGACTTTGGATGAGAAGATTGCCGACGTTCTAATCTGGTACGGCACAACTGCAAGCGCCAAGAACCGTGGCAGCCCGATCTACGAACGAGCTGTCGAAGCGCTCCTTCTTGCATTTGATGAGCAAGACATTGAGAGTGCAGTTGAATCGCAATTTAACGAACAAGGAACACTTTCCAATCCAAACCTAATCACGGGTTGCTACAAGCTCTTTAGAAGTTTTCGATTCAAGAAGATGTATCCTGAAGGCCTCAATCTGGAGTCAATAAGACAGCCACAGCTTTTAGGAGTTACTTTCTAATAAAAGTAAAGCAACTAGAATAAATAGATATTAAAATACATAGAACAACGCTAAACATATAGATACATCCAGAACCCTCGTCACATATGAGACAGTGCCAAGTTTGATCAGGATTCCAAGACAATCAAGATTATTCGTTACTTTTTGCGGGAGACAACTGTCGAGTTAGATGGATGAGTTGAGGTACCGTATGAAGTATTGGGTGGCGTCATACGAAGTGCCAGCGAAAGCAAAGAGGGGGGTCAATCTAGTACGAGGGTAGGATTGAAGGCGATATGGCGCTAAATACATGCCTACGGAAGAAATTCAAGATCAAACATGGAGGCACACATGAAGATCGATTGCTATGAAATACTACGATATGTTGCGGCTTCGTGGAGCCACCATCTTGCTTTGGGGTTCCTCCTTTTGCTGTCGCATACAGAACAAGCTACGGCAGTACTTGTATGCCACGCTGGGAAATGGAAGTTGGATATCTAGCGTAGTTATAAAGCTCTTGAGCAATTGCCGTGCGTTGGTACAGCATAGTGCTGCCAGCCATTTCACAGGGTCGCTTCCAATTCGGCAATCAGTCCAATTTCTACCTCTCAGCTCTTTTGAGCCGTTGAAGTAATCCCTTCAGGTTATGGACAGCTTGTGCTCCCAGTGGGACAAGATAGCTTGCCCTCTTGGTAAAGCTCTGTTGGCTCGGTGATACATACATAGTAAAGGTTGAATCTGATGAATCAATCACCTTCTTTTTACAGACAGAATCAAGCCTTCCATCCGCTCACCGAACTTGCTTTGCTTGTTGGTCTTTTCCCTGAGCTTTTTATACCGCATAGACTCTTTCATGTTGGCTTGAATCTCGGTTTCAGAGACTTGAAAGCCGTGCTTGAGAATGTTCTTGCGCATTTCTCCGTTCATTGGACTCAAGGCTGGGCTTCGGGTCAATCTTCGGCTCTCTTCAAAGGAGTTCAACGAAATGGCTGCATTCTCGTGGAATGCCCAGCCAATGGCTAACGGAGGTCCTCGAGAGGGATCATGAACATCTGGATGATCTCCAGCCACGCGTTCGTACTCTCGAATCTCCACAGTACCAAAGTCTACGGAGGATGCGGTGGAGACAGCTGAATTTTCCGATGCATCAGAAGCTCTCACTGCTGGTGTCATCTCAGTCAAGCCTGCTGGTAAGGCTATGGTTGCCACACACTCATCAGCAATACGGGAATCTTCCATCATGGTTACTTTGCACTAAACTGCTTCTTATCGAGTAAGTGATGACGGTCTCTTTCTTGTTTTGTTTTGGTTTGTTTGGATGTGAAGATCAGGGCGTAAATTCGGGTCTGCGTCGAAAATACGAAATCGTTTGTTAACCACAACCTCGTGGTGAGCAATTTCTCTTAAGTGAGGAAAGGAAGATTCGACAAAGATTCGTCACGATTCGGCAATCTATGATCGCGATTCCTGTGCCGGCCAGCGTCGGATTCATCCCCAAGGTTCGCAGACGCCAAGTTTGAACGCACTGACGGTGCGTGTGCGATGCAAATGCAGCGCAATTTCGAGCTTGATTGATCCTCGTTCCAAGCAACAGTGTAGTCGCATAGTCGTCTGTCTGACTCCTAGCGTGGATTTGGACCTATCAAAGTACTTTCATGCTGAACAGAACATGAATTGGATGAACGAAGTGCAGACGACGATTGTCAAACACCGCTAACCATGATAACAATTTCAAATTAGACTCTACACTGGCTTAGAATTGGATTGAATTTTGTAGTCGAGTGTTAATATGCTGGATTCTATTCAGCTGTGGGATGTCATGGGAGGAAGTCGTTGCCTAGATACAACTGGGACCCTGATGGAGCAACAGTGCACACCAATCATTCAGCCATGATCTGTAGATTGTCGTCATGAAATCTCAGGTGTTCCCATTGTCTCCAGTCTTTACATTGGACGACAGTGCCAATGCTGATCTTGGAAGCCGCCAACGAGAAAGAAGGAGATAGCAAAACAGTAGTATTCCGCTTACGGGCAACACTGACTCCAGTAGTATCCAGCTCGTTCGTTTCAGCCCCCACGGCGGCAGATTGTTGGCGAAACCTATGTTTCTTCCTCTGCTTCAGTTCCAACATTGTCTTCCTCATCATTTGATGGCTCGGTGTTGGGTTCCGACTCGCTCGCCTTCGCCTCGTTGGATTAGAAGAATATCAGATCATACTTGTCAACTGCCTCCAGCAGCTTTCATCATCAATCTATTCTTTGTCTCCTGTTCTCGGTTTCGTTTGTTGTTCCTTATGAGGAAGCTGGTGAAAACAAGTGCTGTATGGTGTTGAATGGTTAACGATTTTGTAGTAGTATATATATCCGGGGTACTTTGGCCGGATGTGGCAAGTGATGGCTTGTCCTCGGTTCACTGAACAATGTTGCCTACCCCAAGGCTCGTCGATTGGCAGAGTCTGACTTAATCAAGGAAGCCCCAGTTAGATCCGAGGATTCTCCAAAAGCGTTTTCAGCAAAAATCTGTGGGTTTTCATACGCCTCTTCGTGTCAGCGTGGTCATCACCAAGTACCCTGCGACGAATCTTGAGGGCTTTTGCACTCATAGCAATACCCTCTTCTAGCAAACCCTGTTCAACATTGACTGCCGAAACATTCTCGAAGGCTTCTGCCATGTCAATGTGTACATCCGCAATACTAGTGTGGAATGCTTTCATGCTGGGATGATCTTTAACCGGATGAGCGGTAAAAGTCTCCTAAAAAACAACCAGCGCTTCTAGGAAGATTTGTATCGCCTTTTCCGAATCGCCTTGTGCATTCATTGTCACTCCCTGTGATCTCAATGTTTTTGCAGTTTGGTGGCGCTTGGACACTTTCAGGGTAATCATACCATCCTGGATGCTAGGATGATTGTCACCAAGTACTGTTCGGCGAATATTGATGGCTGTTGTGTACGTCTCGATGGCGACGTCTATCATGTCTCGTCGGACATATACTGTTGCAAGGCTTTCACATGCCTCTGCTGTGGAGACGTGCATTTCACCTCGCGTTTCCTGTTGTATAATTAGCACCTTGCTAAGCACTTCCGTTGCACCTTTGAAGTTGCCTTGTGCTTCCAGCAAGTTTGATTTGTCACGGAGCGATATTATCAGAACAGTTGGATTGAAGTCTCCCATCCCTTGTAGCCTATAACATATTTCGATGCTCTTATCAAGCATCTGAAGAGCGTCGTCCAACCTATTTTGGTCTTTCAACAGCCCTGCAATAAACGTGTATACCATTACAACGTCGGAGTGATCTTCCCCATATATCTGTAGTAGGTTCGCAAGTACGACTTTTTGCATCTTGGTTGCTTCTGAAAACTTTCCTTGCATTCGCAATGCTATCGCTAAACTTTGGCTTCGACTCATAAAACATGGTTCGCTCAGACTCTCAACATTTTCGCTAAGAATCATAATATCAGACAATTCTGGTATTGGACACTCGACCATGAAACTCAAAGCGTTTTGGAACATTGTTTGGGCTTTTTTGCCGTCCCCTTGTTCCAGAAAGACTCTGCCAATGCTTTCGTAGGTTTGAGCTGTGTCAGCATGTTTTTCTCCCAATCTCCTCAACCTTATATCAAGAGCTCTTTGAAGTGTCTCCAAGGCTTCATTTAGCATCCCTATCGAAGGTAGCAACTGTCCCATGTACATGAGGGTCGGGACTACAGATAGATCATCTTCAACTATTAATAAATCTTTCGTTTGTATCTCCAAAATTCTGCCCAGAGTCTCCAGTGCCTTTATATTGTTTCCTTCCTTCCTGTGCACAAAGAACTGTTGCTTGAGTGTGGTAAGCAAGCCTTCTTCGTTATCATCCATTGTTTGCCTACTCTATGCGTCTCTGTACCGGGTATATAGTCTGATGCTGTGAATGTATTGTATTTGAAAAATAGCATGATGATCGATTGTTTATGATGAGTACTTCTTCAGTCTCTTTTTGGATGAGAAATGAATTTGGTATGAGTACCAGGTACCGGTACCGGTATATATGTTGCGATGTTACGATACTGCGCTTTTAATCAAGAGCAATATCGAAGAGAAGTCAACTCTGAACATACAGGTACCGTACATGTAACCATTCAATAGGATGACTATTCTTATCACTACGTCGGAAACAAAAAATTAAGGATTGATTCCATTTTTCGTGGAAGACTGGCGACACTGACATCTCGCTTGCCCTCATTACCATGCCTCTGTTACAACAACCGATGAGATCGCTCGGGAGATTGAATCATCAACGCGATCCTCGAAAGAAGACAATTGTACCACCCATGAGATTTTGGTCGATCCTTTCGGTATATGATGCCCTTTCACATGCTGCTGTCGGCTGCCAAATGCAGAATGGATCTGTTGCAAGTCTTGCTAGATGCGTATCCATCAAATGTCCTTGGATGGAAAGGCGTCATCGGAAAGACCGCCGTTGAATACTTGACTGAACGAAGCGTTCATCTGTCTGAAGACGAGCGAAATATGCTTCGAAAGCCTCTTCAAAGATGGTTGGTGGGTTCTGTATCGAGTTGGAACCAATGGATTCGAAGCATGGAAATCGGCCATGACAAGTAGTGTGAATGCTGTTCTTGTTGAAGAGGAAATGGAACAGAAGCAAATATTTGTTTCAAGAAGCATCGATGGCTCTGTCACGGTACGAACAGATAGAACCCGCAACGTTGGAAAATGAAGATGGAATTGGCAAAGAATGCATCAGCAGATCATGCAATAAGACCAGAAGTATACCGTATCCGAAATGGTGCTACAATTGTCATCCCAAATGTGATTTCATTCCATCATGGATTCGATCATGGATTGGATCTTGCAAACGACGACGATATTGAAACATCCGGCAGTGATAGCAGTAGCCATTCATCCAGTGATGACAATGTGTACCGATAGGTACGATATTCAATAGAAAATATGACAATTCATTGTATCTGATATATGTATACTGTATGGAGAGTGGTCTAAGTACTTTATTCTAGTAGTTCATATTGAATATGGCTTGTCATCTAGAAACAAGCAGCACGGGATGAAAGTATTCCAAAAAAAGGAAACAACAACTTCCATCCCAGGCAAAGATATGGAACAAAAAGGATAATGAACTTAGGCAGACATGGTCTTGTAGTCTTCTTCTTGGATTTTGACTGGCTCTTGGTCGCTCTTCTTTTCTTCTCTATGCAAGACAATCAAAAAGACAGTGGAGAAGATGAGAACCCAGAAATCAAAGTAGGCCATAAGAACACCGATTTGTCCGTAGAAGCCGTAGATGGATTCATCCCACATGCGGTCCTCGTTGGAGATGATAGAAGGCAAGAGGAGGAAGTTGACAACAATCATGTTGATGAGGAAAGCAAGTCCCCACTTCAAGGTAGAGAATGGGCGGGACTTGTAGAAAGTTCCGCATCCAATGATAAGGACAACAAAGAGAACAAGGAACATGTAAATGACGGCCATGATTTCTCCAGCAGTGGGACTAGTCTCGTCCATTTCTTGGCGGACTCCGGTGTTCTCCTCCTTCCATTGGTTCAGTTCTTCGGATTGTCCACCGGAAAGGAAGACGAACCAGCTTGGAATTTGTTCGTTGTAGTTGTTGGCTTCATTTTGGTCTTGTTCACCGCCCATGTAGTACTCGGCGTATCTCATTTGTTGGCGTTGGCAGGCAACGTTCCACCAGCTGCACTCCTTGTAGAGGTAACCGTACTCGGATTCGTTTCCGTATTGGTATTCTCCGTTTTGGTTCTGGTTTTGTTGTTCTTCGTATTCACGCTGTTGGTTCTCGTATTCGATCATGTATCCCTGGGAACGGTAGAACGACTTCTTGTGGACAGTCCATTGGATGATGGGGGCAAGGAAGGCAACCAATCCAGAAACCATCCAAGCGACAAGAACAGTGTTGCGCTTGACACTAGACCATTCGATAGAACGAACTTCGTCAGCAGCGATGCTTGCAGTAGCCTTGATGCGATCCATGTTGTTTGTTGTTGTTGTTTTGAAAACTCAAAAGAACGTACTTTTGGAAATGTGAGCCAATCTTTATTACCAATGGGAATCTCCAATTGCTCTAGTTGACAGTTGTCGTCGGCTTCGTAGCACTTGTACACGTCGGGTGGTTTGAATTGCGGAGCGTAGTCCGTATCCTCTAAATATCCATCGAAAAGCGTTGCTTTCCTACACGAATTTGAATTTTGGACTGTCCGTACGCGACATTCAAATCTACATGCGCGATATTGCGCGAAAAGAATCCGGAAGTGGATGGAATTTTGCCAAAATTTGCAGCTTCCATTCCCCGCCCCGGAGGTTTTTGGGTGAGTTTTTTTTTTGTGTGATGACTGACTCGGATGTCACGATGGCGGGCCCATGTGAATTCCAGTGCATCGTGAATCGTCCACGCCAATTCTATACTGACCAATTGTTTGCTCCTACACCCTTTCTTCATTGTTGCATCGATCAATCCACAAACGCATGTTGCTTTCTATTGCATTTCAAGATTGATTCACAGAAAAACCCGAGCTGAAGCTTCCATCATCGCTCATTTACTCAGATACTTGTGAAGAGACAACAGTTATTCACAATGTTGAAAACTTCCCAATCAGTCGTTTCGGCTGCGGACCATACTGCAGTGACGACCAACTCGGTACCTTGCCGTATTAACATGCTTCCCAAAATCCATCGGATTCCAAGGAACAAGAGCAGCAAGAAGAGTACTCTTGATTGGAAAAATCCAAAAAAGACAAAGAAAAAGGCAACCATGACCACTCCTGTGAAGAAGGCTGCACCCCCAACCATCCGGATGGCCAGTACGCCTACCACGGTGGCATCTTCTCCCGCTGCAAGCGCTGCCAAGTCTGCTTCTCCAGCCGCAAGTGTGGCCAAGGAGGAGGAGGAACAAGAACTCCCTAAACCCAAGAAACAGCCCTCCATCACCCTTCTTCCAAAGGTTCACAAGCGAGTGCGACCAGCCCCTGCTCCCACTTGCATCTTGAATGACCTTCCTCTGCAAGAGATTTCCTTTGTTCATTCCGATCAAGATGAATCATCCGAAATTGCCAAGACTCTCATGTTTGGAGAAGACGAAGGCTTTGAGGACATCCTGAACAAAAGCATCAATCGCGATGAATTGTATGATCTACATCAAACCGAGTCGCCCCAAAAGTATGTCAACTCGAGTATGGAAACGGAGCTTCGACGAAACCGAGAAGAGAAGCTCAACACTTCCTTTCCTCAGACTGAAGCTGTCTTTGATGCTTCGGTTCCAATCGATACTGATAATCGAGCCTCCAACGATCTCTCTTTCGAGACTACCAGCTCCATGGCCGTGAATGAACGAATGCACCTAGACGAGTCTCCCATTCGTCCTAGACGCCAAGTGGTTGGAGAAGAAACCATCATGGACACATCCAGAGAAGTGGAAATGGTCCGCAATTCTTTTTTTGATAATGAAGAAATGGTTGCGGAACTCAATAATAATGAGACAAAAGAAGAGATCCCCAAGGAGATCACTGCACTTACTCTTTCTAATGCAGTCGTGGATGATAACGATTTCATGTCTCCCTTGCAACGCTTGCGTTCCCAACGAAGCATGAACAGCAGCAGCAATTTGGAATGGAACGCAGAGCAAGAGACCCGCACGAAAGCCAATCAACAGGATGTGGCCTTGGCCAAGCAAAAGAAAAAGGAAGCCAAATGCAAGGTGAATATTGCCAAACACATGGCCGCCGAGCGACAGCAGCAAGAAGCTGCTGCGATTGCCAAAGAGGAAGAAGCGATGCTCCAAGAAATGATTGTCCAAGCCAAGAAGCAAGACGAGGCCGAGAAAAGGGCCAGACATTCTGTCAAGACTATGCAAAAGAAGAATCAAACGAAAAAGCCAGCAGTGAAATTTGGACAGAAGCAAGTGGTGACATTGCCTCCGGTGACATTGCCTCCAGCTTCCACCACCGACAAGCCCACAGCTCCACTGTCATCTTCCCCACAGACTCTTACTACTACTGGATCCGCCTTTGTACCCGAATGGACCAAAAAGTCTTTGCGCAAGACTAGTCCATCAATTTCCCCAACGGAATCGGCCAAGTCTACGGTTTCAACATCATCATCATCATCATCTTCCAAGAAGGTTCCCGAATGGGCCAACAAGCAACTTCGCAAGTCTACCATTACGACTAGGCGAACTTCTGTTCAAAGCAGTTCGGCCGGATCTGTCAGTGACGAACTATCGTCCTGGATGGGCAAGCGCCGTCTCGCTTCCGAAGGTGAGACGAGTCTTTTGAAGTAATCACTGACGAATGCGTCAAAATCGTAGGTCGTGCTGCGAGTGATGTGTAAGGACACGCGCAGAGGATTATATTCTCGCTGCTGTCTTTGCTGTAAGTAAAACTTGTAGTAACAGTTTTTAATTTATATATATACATATAACCACTACAAACTTCTGTACTGAGTACAAGAACCAAATGTGTACCAGTACTGTTCCTAACCGGTACATACAGTAGTGTCGGGAGACGTTGAAGAATTCTGAATCCATCCCAAGGAGTGGTTCTTCGGCTTTGCTATAAGAGTATCGTCGGTGTTGATACAGAGATACGACTTTTGGTGCATGTTCACGATGTCATTGTTCCTGCTAGTAGAGAAGGCCAAATATATATGTCAATGGTGTAGTTGTATTATGCTACCGGTACTCTGGAGCAACCACAAACAGTTGCCAATAAGTATTAATAACAGTAAATGACAAGAAGATGACACCCAAATTGTCATGTGGCTGGAACATAGTATCATTTCACTTGTTAGTGTTTGCTGCTAGAGGTTGAGTAAATGGTTGAGTGAATGGCTGGCAATAGTCTACTAGTATTATTATTGTACTAACAGTTTTATATGTGTTATTGGATTTATTTGATGTCTTTTTATGAATTTACATGGCATCTGTGCCCCCTCCCTTGAGTTATCTATGGCAGTGCAGTGCAGTACAGTATTATGATATAGTTGCAATCTTGAATAGTACTCAGTACTCAGTACTCATCATCATCGCCACAACTATCCTCTTCCCAATCGCTGCCGTCATCAGAGGATTCCCGTCGTTCGTACAGGCTATGTTCGGACTTGTGTTCCGACAGTCTAGTAATGGCAGGCGCTTCGTCGTCATTGTCAACATCATCGTTGAGCGGACCATCGGAAAGACAACTGCCGTCATCGTCGGAAGAATCATCATCGGAAGAATCCGAGTCCGTATCCTCGCAAAACTTGGTAACGTCTGGAAGGACTATTTGGCGCTTGAGAATTTGCTGTTGTTGTTTCTCTTCGTCGTGCATGCTGTTGTCTTCGAGAATCTTGGGAAGGTCGTGGGACAGCAGACTGGTATTGAAACTGTGATCGAGACGTTCGTAGTTGATTTGGCTGAAGTTGCTGCTGCTGCTGCTGCTGTTGCCGTTCAATAGACTGTTGTTGGGCAAGGAAGAGCTAGAGCTAGAGCTACTACTGCCACTACCACTGTTCAAATCCATCTCTCCAAATTGCGTGTTGAGAAACTTGTCCACACCGCTACAGGCAGGAGGAGTGTTGTTATGGAAGGAATAAAATTTCTCTTTCGGGTATTCCTTGGAGCCTTGGCGAGGTGCAGGAATGACAGATTTGCCTTTGGGGCGACACTCCGGCTCAACATTGGGCGGAAGGTTGCTATGACTTGTTGGGGCAGCTTGGATGTTCATAATGGTGGAGGTCATACAGTACAAAGGAGTTTGAATTTTGTTGGCCTTTTGGTTTGTCAGATGACACTCTTTCGTGTTCGGTTGGACTGTTTGAGTTGCGGTAAGACTGACTGATGGTGACTGCAAGTTTGTTTTCAATCGTACGGTTCTCGGTACTGCGATACCAGTACCACTGGTACTATCTTGAATCTGCGAGAAGATGTCAAACACCGCATGCGGAGTATTTCCAGAACAATCTGATTAGCGAACGACCCGGAATTTGAAAATCTACAATAATTGTTGGGCTTCAATCAGAATGGCTGGTAAGATTGACACACTTAGTGTAGGGCCTCAATAAATCATTATTTTCTCGTTTTTGCCCTAAATGTTACAAACGCTATTTGGGAACAAGCAAGATTGATCGACCATAGATGTTGGAACGAGCGTCTGGTCGCTGGTCCGGAGCGAAATTGAAGGAAAGGTCGCTAGCAGTCGATCGGGTCAGTAGTCAGTCAAGTCACTCTCCCGCGCTCGGTGTGGTTCCAAAAGAGAGAGAGAGAGAGAGAGAGAGAGAGAGAGAGAGAGAGCGAGAGCGAGAGAGAGAGAGAGAGATGATGATATTCATAGTAGTGGGTTGTGCCAACCCAACAACCTTACTACAGTAGGTCTACAGCTAGAGGGAAAGGTGGAGTGCAAACGAAATTAGAAGGAATGATAATGGAGGAGGAATGTACTAGATGGGCTAGAAGAAGCTA